TTTGTATCACTTCATATAAGGTTTTTATAAATTTAATTTAATTGCTGTAAGAAATCGCATATAAAATTTAATATTTATTTTAAGTTAAAATATATAAATAGTTCTGTATAACGTGTTGAAAGCAATCTAATTTGTTATTTATTTGATCCTAATAATTTATTCTAGATTTTAATAAAATTTTGTATAAAACGAGGAATTATAATTTATTATTTATGAAACGAAATTTTATAATTTATTAAGAAACATTTAAAAAGCTGTTTTTTATATTTTATTTGATAAATTTTTTAGACGCAGAGCTCTGTATATATATATTCTGTACAATTTATATATGATGTAAAAAATAAATTACATATTCTATAAAAATAATTTATTAGAAAAATAATAAGATTGAAACATGTTCACATGGACAACGCTTAAATCTAGCTAAGAATGCAAGATTGAATAAAGAATCAATATACAACTGACGTTAATTTATCAATTTGCAGTAGCTCTCATGAATGTTTTTCACTTTCACTCTTAACTTTATCAATATTATCTGCAACTAAGCAGAAGTGGATTTGATGAAAACTCCAAAGTAAAATGAGATATTTTATCGAAATTACTTTTATATCGATGAGTACAGGTAAGTTAACTAATACAATACAAAGCACAGCACTTAGCGCTTGTCATGATTCCTAACAGAAGTGGTAGAAGGAACGTGTCCTGAGACGTCTGCCAAAGCACGTCTTGAACTCCTACTCTCCTTAGAATAAGATTAATGGCCACCTCTAGGAGTCATTCCATCTGTTTTGTTAGAGGTGGCGAAACCGCAACAGAGAAAATGTTCTGAGATCGATGTTCCTTGATCACGCCAAGGTTTGCTGGGACCCGATCCATTTCCACACCCGGTCACGTAAACGGGAAACACCCTTTACCTCTTCTTCTCTTGCTTCCTTACCAACTAATGAAAAGTCATTCCTCTTATAGCAAGCCGTTGTATACTGAAGCCAAGTCTAATTTACTAACTTGATATATACTACTCGTTTTCAGAGAAGACAAACTACGAATTTCGGGACATTGGTCGTAAGGGATTTTCTGTTTTTATTCCTTTCTCTTGTAATAGAAGTTCATGAACCTTGGCAACATTCCAGATTGTTGGAATGTATCTGCTCTTATGAACGTCTCCAATGGTTAAGTGTGAGCGATAAGATGATATGGACCTATATATATATTTATTTATATTTATATACTTTCTAGTATCAAGTTACAGCTTTGTATTTTACGTAATAACGATATATTACTTTATTTCTTTTTTGAAACGGTTTCAAAACTTGCAACTAAACTGTTCAAGTAAATCAAATTTATAAGAAATTCTATAGCCAATATGAATCATATAATACATTTAATAATTAAAGCGATTAAGTAGAGGTAACGTACTGTATACAGGAAAATAATGATTGATTAAGAGTAACTAAACATATTTCTAATGAGCTATGGAATCATATTCATCGGATTTAAATCATTATCCATTTTCAAAATGATTCAAACATAAATTCTCAATTTTAATCGATACTAAATTAGTATAAAGGAAATCGTAAATATTGTTACTTGCACCTTATTTTTTTATTTTTCTTACAGAAGTTCTTAACATAAGTTCATGTTTTTTCTTTCTTTTTTAGACTTACCTTCATTAATATGCATTATTTTTTAAATGACCTGGTCTTTGTTATCTTACCATTATATTAAAACGGCATTTAAAAGAAAATTATGAATTAAACAATCATAATGAGAAAACGTAATAGTGATGTAATTAAAAAAACACATCGCTATTTTCCCTCTTTTTATGATAGAATAATGATTAAGAAAAGTATATTAAACGGGAAGTTAAAGATGGAGAAAATCTAGTTTGAAACTTATTTTTTCCTTTTAGTTTGAATTATATAAGTAATAAGATGAAGAACAATTAAATCCTGTAGCATCGTTTCTACTAACGAATGTAATGTTCTTTGTATTCTACCCTTACTTTATCACTACAGTTCAAATGATATTTTGGTCATCTTATTTCGTTAAGATAATGAAGTTTGATGGTCAACGACTGTTTTTTTTTCTTTTTTTCATTTCTTTTCTTTTCTTTAAACTTTTCTAAACTGAGAAAAGAATTTTAATTAATCTAAAAATAGATTTCTTTTCTAAAGTAAATGATAAAATCTTACCTTTTTTAAAATTGCATTGTTTGTAATGCTTATATATATTACAAATTTTCACACATTCTGTGCAATTTTATTTAAATTTTATGATTAAATTGCATTTTATTTATATCTGTAAATTTAAAATTTAAATTTATAGAATCGTAATACATAATACGTCTTAAAATTGGAATAATATAGAAGAATCAGGATTAAATAAAATGTTTTTTTCTCTTTTTGTATAAAAACTCCTCTATCTTTCGTTGTATCAACTTTGATATAGGCAACAGCATCGATTGAAGACATATTTGTTTTAGCAACGATTGGTTAGAGAAGTAAATAATAAATATACTTAAAAAATTTTTTTAAATATATTTTTACTAATGTTTTTAAAATTTAACACAGTATCTTCAAACGAGTTCTAAGAAAAAAAATCTGTACTTTATATCTTGCGTATATCGCAGAAGACGACTGATGTTCACAAAAATTGTAGCATCTAATTTTTCTTCCTCTACTTCCACCTAAGATTTAGTTACGATTTACTTTATATATGCAAATTTTACACATTTGCATATGTTTATGAGCATATATACGATTTACTTACGATTTATGAACGTTTTATTGCTAGATACGCAATAAAATTCTATATCTTTTATTAAAAAATAAAATACTTCATACAAGATGCGAAATAACGATTTATCACATATGAAATAAATTTCTAACGATTTTCTTTTTTTTTTACTTTGTTTAACAACAAGTTACAGCAGAATAAATACGTTGATATGAAAGGAAATCAAAGCTCAAAGGAAGAAAATAATTGAAAGTATCTCCAGCAAACAAATAGCACTAGACAAAACTAATATACTGTGTATACAGATATATTTATACTATGAAATAAGCATATATTTGTGGTAAAAGGTTATAATATCTCGAATAGTTTAGATAATATTTCAATTTCGGACAAATTTTTGTCTTCATTTATCAATTTTATCTTAAAACTTAGAGAAGATGGGAACGAAAATCAAAATAAAAAACTATAACCCGAACGAAGCAATAGAACATATGAAGTAACAAGATAAGAGAGAAGTGCAGTAACACAATACTAATAAAATAGACTGGTGGTCCGTAGATAAGGTTTCTTTTAGGTTACTGTTGGGACAATAGAAAAGAGAAAAAAATATAGCAATCCATGGCTTTATTCTGCATCATAAATAATTCAATGCGTTTTTTATTCGTTAGATGTGAAACTTTATCAAATACCACTATTCTACTTCTACAGAGACATAATGTGGTATTTTAGTTCAGTTATTTTTCTTTAGAAGGAGGAGAAAGGGGAAAAAAATTATATTTCGACTAGTTATTCAGTCTCTGTCCTAAATTATTTCTACTTTACTATCTGTTCAGTAGAGCTGTCATAAACAGAAATCCGTATATCACACACCTATTATTCTAAAAATACTAGGGAAGCCGAAGCTTTAAACGTATTTGATTTCAACAATGACACTAATGACGGCACCCACATTGTTTTTATTGCTCTTGTCTACTTTACATTGACAGTTAATTACTTTATCCATTAAGTAATTCTTTGTTTCTACTTCTGTTCGATACAAATTATTATAATTACTGTCCAAGAATTATTTTGTTAAGTTTTCGAAACGATTCTTTTCAAGAATTTAATTTATGACGTCTCGGTTCTTGTAAACAAATTTTTCTTTATTTGTATATTTGCTTATTTATAATCCTGTTTCTTTCTCTTTTTTTTTATATTTACAATCGATTTGTTTTTGGAGATTATGAAATTTTTATCCACAGAATTAAACTACTATATAAATATTCAGTGAGGATTAATGACTTTTCTAATATAAAATTTAGATAAATAATGTAGAAAAATTTAAAAATAAAGTAATAAAATTAAAAATATATGCAGACTCTTGTATTTAAAAGCTCTAATGAATTACAAGATAATATTAATTCATGATTATTGAGTATTATCTTTATCCGTAAGCGTCCTATTGAGAATTAAATAAACGAATTTTTTTTTCAAATTTGAATTAATATAAATAAATTCTCATGACATATTTTTAATTTTTCATTCTTAGAATTCATTAAAATAATATATATTAATAAAAACCTATTTTAAATTTTAAATATCTTCTTTGGTAAAAAAAAAATCTTTAAATATATGATTAATATATCTTCCAAAGTTTACATTTGAAGAATGTAAATAAAAATTAAACTTTATTCTAGGATTAAGGTTATTTATTAACTTCATAAAATATGATTAATTATAGAAAAACACGAATTAAAATCCAGCTAATTTACATTTTATCTAGTGATTTCAATCATAATATCTTCCCATTTACAACAAGAAAGAAGGGTTACAAAAATCCTCTTCTTGGTTTCTATGAAGTTGAGTGGAAGTTACTTAAGTTAAAATTTCCATAAAAACATTATATTTTATGTAAGATGTAATAAATCTTACTTTAGCCATATATATTAATCATTAAGGAAGAAAATAGTGGACATAGTGTATAATGATGTTCGTGGCAATGATTAATTGCATCTTTGGATATAGTTTAAGCTACATTCTATTCATTAATAAATCTCAGTATTTGTTATGAAGTACAGCAAATCGAATATCGTTTAATTGAATCCATGTTCGCTTCACTGCTCGAACAAGTGCGAATAATGTCTAATGATCTATACATTGTTCTACTTCAATCGTCTTCTTTTAATATTTACTATAAAAGTTTGTATAAATAAAGAAAAAAAAATGTGTAATCTTCTTAAAAGATTAAATTTTCATACGTAACATGTATAAATTTTATTTTCTAGCATGCACAGAAAATAGGACAGGAGAGAAAACAAGACATGTTCATAGGACACGGTGCATCTTGCGTCATGCACGTACAGCAGATAATGATCCAACACCCTATTTTGACAATGCCACAAGTCGCAATATTACCACAATGAATGGAAAAACAGCGTATCTTCCATGTAGAGTTCGACATCTGGGAGATAGAACAGTAAGTGTTCCATTTTATAAACTGTATTTGTTGAACTGTAGTCATAAAATGCATTGTCTTTGTTTACTTTATAAGCAGTCCGTAGCCAGGAATAAATCACCGAGAGATTAAAGGGAAAAGTGAAAAAACTGTAATTGATATTTCTTTTTCTAGCTAGCATTGGGTCTATTAGCTACAGTTCGAGTGTACGCTTTCATCATACCTAAGTTTACACGATGAAAGCGAAAGCATATATTATATATAGGCCTACTGAACGTGGCTAAACTAAGTGGGTTTAGCAACCACATAGCCTCTCGGAGCTACGGGTCTGTTTATAAGTAAATATGTCGCGAAGAATCTGGAAAAATAATAAAAATAAAATGATAATAAGAATGTAAGAAAACAAAGAATATTTATATATAAAAACTAAGTGGGATTAGCAACCACATAGCCTCTCGGAGCTACGGGTCTGTTTATAAGTAAATATGTCGCGAAGAATCTGGTAAAATAATAAAAATAAAATGATAAAAATGAGGGCTACTTAACGCCAGAGCCCGAAGTGAACTTTAGCACGCACATAAGGCAATAATTGTTTCAATTGTTTGATAACCCTTCAATAAAATTATGTACTACATATTTGTAGAATGTATATTGTATTATATATATAAAAAGGGATTGAGGGATAATTGATAAATAAATACTCTTTCTTCCCTTATACAAAACACAATATTGACAACTGCACTTTAATTCAAATAAAACTGAAGCAAAATGAATTGCCTTCAAATTACATAAATAACATAAAGATACTTACAGATACCATTTAATTATAGTGATAATCGATAAAACTAGAAAAAAGAATACAAGAGGATCCATATTGTATCTCCCTTCTATGACAGAACTCTTTTACAGTATCTTAGCGATATACATTCTCTTTAAATGAATTTTAAAATATATATATATTTTTTTCGTACTTTGTTCTGTTATACAACATCACTAATCAATAAAAATGTATATAAAATGTCCAAAGATAAGATTGTTAATGATAGTGTAATCTTACTTTACATAATCATTTATTATCGTAATCGATAATATTTGATTTAAACCCGTTGTCATAGAGTCAGACGATAAGCTGTAAACAACATATTTAAATGTACACTTTCTTCTAGACAAAGCAATATAAGTTGCCATCTTAACTCATCTATATAGCCTTTGTAAAATTGAATTCTTATCTGTTGTTCGAGTATCACATGAGAACGGATAAAACCGATTTCTATGAAACTTTGTACATATATTCAGGATAATATATTTTCTTTTTTAGAGCGAAGCCAGATACCATAGCTGCAGTTCGTTTTGCTTTAACTTCATGCATGAAATGAAGAAAGAATGTAGTCACTTCTCTGAACGCTACAAAATGTATTCTTCCGTGCTGCCTGTCTCATTGTAGAACAATAGCAGCGTCCTAATAAAAATGTTAAAAATCTCGAATTTCTTTTTAATAATGTTAAGAAAAACATTGATTTAAAATTTGATAGGTAATAAATTCAGAAATAAGAAAGTAATTATATTTAACAATTTTTCTTCTTAATAATAAGATGAATTTTTAATTTAAGTTATATTTTATCATCAAAACACTAAGATGAAAAGTTCGGTTTCTTGTACCACTTTCTCATTGAATCTTTTAATTATATTTCATAAAAAATATTGTATATACAAATCAGTTCTATTTTCTTATATCAAATCTTTTGCTTATTTAAATCCAAGCATGCTTTACAGCCAACTAAAAGTCCAAAAAAGCAAGTAGGCTAAACACGATCCCGATTTCATTGCCTGATAGAAATAAAAGCACGGGAATATGTCACATAGAATAATTTTGGAGGGCTATATCTCGCGAAGATATGGTTCCTTTGACTTTTTTGTTTCTATATGCCTATGAGTTCCTACAGCTCCGTTAAGGTCCCAAACGTATCATTCAGAGCTTGAATTAAGCCTGCATTTTTAGATTCTACTTTTTGTGTTTAAATCCATAAACTGAGAATTTTCATGTCTTTGAACCAGAGCTGTGGAGTCGTGTAAAAATCTACCGACTCCGACCAGGGGCGGACTTGTTACCAAAAGAGACCCGGAAATTCTGATGTCATCACGATAAACGATTTAAGATAAACGATTTAATAAATAGAGTTCTAATGAAGATAGAACGTAGAAACTTTTTATTCCAAAGCTAAAAGACACCTTTAAGTAATGACACAGTCAATATATAAATATGTATTCGATAATTTTTACTTTTCCGGCTGTTAAATATAACAGAGGAAAAGTGGTAGGTCAAAAAATGACCCCTCCCAAATTTTTACATTTTTGGACTCGGGACATCTTGAAATTTCGAGATATGCAAAAGATTCGAGATTTTTTCTATATGTGTGTATGTTAGACTGTGTGTGGGGGGACATGTTTTTGTTCACCCTGTTTGAAGCCTAATAATTTCAGTGGTTTTTAAATCGGAGTCAGATGGTAAACACAGGAGTTAGTTATTAAGCGTCAAAGTGGTTGAACTAAATCGTGTCCCCATACACATTCTAACATCTTAGGCGAGGACAACTTAACGGATTTTACTGTATTTTTATAAAATGACAAAAAGCTTACTTTGAGGGTAGAGACGAGTTTTATTTTTTATTTTTTAATTTTGAACATTAATAAGGAGTAAAATATTCACTAAGACATATGACACATGACCCATTTTATGTTTTCACCCTGTCGACCTTTAATTAAGAACCAAAATTTAATATCGTTAATGCCCCTTTATACGCAAATTACAGTGCCACATTTCGTTTCTTAGACTTTACCCATTCTGAGACATTGTTTAATATCTCAGAACAGAAAATAAAGAAATTAAACAAATTAGACGCCAACATACAAACACGCGCGAATTTTTCCCCTTTTATTGCCTGTTTTGGGGGGGTTTGGGAGGTCTCCAAACGTGTAGATTTGAAAAAAAAAAACTTGGGAGGGTGAAATTTGACACGATTCCAATACTTTTATGTTTTATATACATAACAAGTTGGGAAGTAAAAGGAGTCGGCGGAATTTTTGACGACTCCGACTCCACAGCCCTGTTTTGAACAGAACGTTATTGTATTTCTCCTTATGAAGTAATTTTTTTTATCAGTATTGAATGTTTTTTTTATCTACAAATACATTAATTACTCTATTGAAGAATTACAAGTTACTGTAATATGCTAAATTCAATTATACAGTAATTCTCTCATATAATCGACAAAATTCTTACATCATTGATTGCATTGATAAATGCTTTCAATGCGTTTTTACATCTTAGAAATTAGATTGTCAAGGAACGAATCCTGATGGCATTTAATTTGACTAAACGCTGCAATTATTTTAGTATTTCACTTACAAATAAGTTTCTTTTAAAATTATTCTATATTATTTCATTAATGATGAATATTATTACTTATCTTAACATTATGATTTAAAGCACTAACAGAGTTTTAAAATTAATACGTAAGTGTCCAAAGTACTTTAAAATCTTTAGACTGATTACCAAATTATTATTCATTGTCCTGACAACAAGTTCATAACAAGATTATTTTATCGTGAAATTTATAAAGTAGATATTAAAATTATAATAATAGAGGCGTAACTGAAAGTTTTTCTTGGACTTGTTCCATAAATTAATTAACTCATAATAGGCATGGTCTTTTTTATTCTTTAATTTGAAATCTTTTTCTATGAGACTTAAAAATGTACCAAAATATAATGTGATAATTCGCGGTTTATTTTTAACTGAATGAAAAGTTGATGACATATGTTCACTGTTCCGTATTGTTCATTATTACGGCAATGTTCAGTAAAAATATGATGGAGAATTGATGTATTTTAGATATCATCTAACTGCTTAGCTCACAAGTGATAACTATATGCACAGTCATTTTGATAAAGTAGTTAAGGTTGCTACAAACGTTGAAAATTTTCTTTGTTTTTTAAACTCTTTCTGCCTTATGGGCACTAAGAAGGCCCTTTTATCAAGCCAATCGTGAGTTTGGTCAGGCCCGCAATGGAACGGCCGGATGGTGAGAGACGGAGTCTACATATCCGGGACAGGCCACGCAAAAAAATTAGTTTTTCAACCTTACTGGTACGAACCAAACAAAGCCTTACAGAGCACCCAGAACTGTGAACTTATTCTAACTTAATTATTACTTATTTATTTTTTAAATAATCTCTTTAACGTTTTCCTTTCCATAGTAAATAACGCATAAGATTAAAAAATCCAGCAACGGGTCGTCTAACTTTCACGCCAAAATTTGGTGGCTTTATCTATTATAATTTTTTTACTATTTTAAAATAGCAAAAAGCTTAATTTTGAGGGTAGAGATGGAGTAAAGTTCAAAACGCCCATATACCCAGTTAAATTTAAAACTTATATATATATTGAAAATAAACGTATGTACAGTTACAAAGTTNCTCGAACAAGTGCGAATAATGTCTAATGATCTATACATTGTTCTACTTCAATCGTCTTCTTTTAATATTTACTATAAAAGTTTGTATAAATAAAGAAAAAAAAAAGTGTAATCTTCTTAAAAGATTAAATTTTCATACGTAACATGTATAAATTTTATTTTCTAGCATGCACAGAAAATAGGACAGGAGAGAAAACAAGACATGTTCATAGGACACGGTGCATCTTGCGTCATGCACGTACAGCAGATAATGATCCAACACCCTATTTTGACAATGCCACAAGTCGCAATATTACCACAATGAATGGAAAAACAGCGTATCTTCCATGTAGAGTTCGACATCTGGGAGATAGAACAGTAAGTGTTCCATTTTATAAACTGTATTTGTTGAACTGTAGTCATAAAATGCATTGTCTTTGTTTACTTTATAAGCAGTCCGTAGCCAGGAATAAATCACCGAGAGATTAAAGGGAAAAGTGAAAAAACTGTAATTGATATTTCTTTTTCTAGCTAGCATTAGGTCTATTCGAGTGTACGCTTTCATCATACCTAAGTTTACACGATGAAAGCGAAAGCATATATTATATATAGGCCTACTGAACGTGGCTAAACTAAGTGGGTTTAGCAACCACATAGCCTCTCGGAGCTACGGGTCTGTTTATAAGTAAATATGTCGCGAAGAATCTGGAAAAATAATAAAAATAAAATGATAATAAGAATGTAAGAAAACAAAGAATATTTATATATAAATACAGACATATATTATAAAATAGAGAATAAAGAAATTAAATTTTACAAAAATCTAAATAATATTATTTCAATTATCTTTTATACAGAATTTTACTAATACTTTTTAAATTCTTTGCCTATTTAAATACATTCATTACGTTTTCTTGCATTTAATCATTTTCTATTATTTGTTAAGTTAATATTTTATTAGTTTTAATACTTTTTGGGTTACAATGGCTTTCATAATTTCATTATTCGATTCATTTTTTAAATGTCACAAGTATACAGAAAAATAATATAAGAAATGTCATCAGTACTCGCACCATAACGTGTTATATATATAAAGAAAAATAAATGATGTTTGCTGTATATTTAACTATACATAAGATGGTGCAGATGTTCACAATTACTGCACAGTATTTAGAGTTCCAATTGCACTTCCAAATGCATATCAATTTGGAATAATTAAGGTAATTTGATTATCCGAATTCTGTACTACAGTATATAGCTTTATACTTACAGTATATGGATTAAGTTTAGTTATTTGCAGCAGTTGTAACATTTCACTACAGTTATTAGATCTGTGAAGATAGGGCTAATTATAGTAATGTCTTAATTTAGTTAAACTTTACAATTTATTTCTAATTTATGTACTTAAATTATTTATGAACAATACTTCCTACTGTGCATAAAATTGTGTGATTTACCAGGAATGTCATCAATGTTTATTTAAATATATAAATAAATATTAAAAATAAAATTATAAAAATTAGATAACAGCAAGAAAATAATGCATAGTTTGGGGATAAATTTTACTGATCTTGTTTGGTGGTTTACCACAAACAGATATTTATCTATTCTTTTTAATACTGTTGTTATTGGAATATGTCCAATCTATTATGGATTTGAACTTCAGCTTTAATGGATTATATATGAATGCATACAAGGCACAGATTTATGCGTGTTTTGTCCATATTTCCTCTTCCATCGGTATTAATATTCTCGTAGTGCAATTCCACTTAGTGATATTAGAAAAATTTTTGTGGTCAGGTGCAAATAAATCTGGAGAAATATTCTAAAAATTTACCGTTATATCGCAGAATTAAAGTTTTAAAGCAGTTTTGAAAACATTTTACTGCTCTTATATAATACGGAATGCATTATATAGATGCTCCGAGGATCGATAGGCATAAAATTCTTTAGAATCTGCATCAAATTTTTGTAAATTATTGCTATGCAACATAATTTTTATATATCCTACAGTATAAGTAAAATAAGATTAATNAAGAGGATCCATATTGTATCTCCCTTCTATGACAGAACTCTTTTACAGTATCTTAGCGATATACATTCTCTTTAAATGAATTTTAAAATATATATATATTTTTACTTTCATCATTAAAATATTCGTTTGAGGATACTTTAAATGTTGGCATTACTAATATTTTATTACTGTAGTTACAATCCTTCTGTATCGATTCTAGTTCGAGGAATAGTAGTCATTAATAAATGATTTCGAATCGTTTCTAGACAGCTGTCGCTAGCAACCTCTTGCGAAGATAACTGTAGAAGATCGATAGAAACAAAACAGTTGCATTTACTCTTTGTTTATGACGTTGATAACCGCAGATATTCAAATATTGATAAATTTTACGTTATTTTTTAAAAAAATAGTTATTATTATATTTTTATAATCAATATTTTAAATTTAAAATTATCAATTTCAAAAAGGGGGGTGGCCTCCTCTAAAATACGATGAAGTAGTTTCTGAAGTGAGTAATTTGAACTCTCTAAAAAGTCATTAAAGTGTTTTGTTATTTGACCCTTAATCTTGTGATTATAAGTACTTTAAAGTATATATTAAAGTGTGTAAAGTGTTTAAAATATTATTTTTTACTTTAATTGTTTGAATGATTCGACGTTTGAGGATTATTAAAATTAATAAGTTTTCGCGTAATTATTTCACAGATTATTATTAACTACTTTAATAATAAATTGCAGATTGTCTTTTAATAAGGTAGAAGTATTTTAACGTTTATAAAATTTAAAAAGATTTTTAGATAACAATAGAAAATTTAAAAGCCTGTTTATTAAGTAAAGTGTTTTACACTTTTTTTCGTGTAAAAATATTTTAAGAATTTCTTTAATGTGTTAAATAATTTTAAAGTTACAGAAATATTAATAATTTATTTAAGGATAACTTATTTTTTGCAAATTTTATTATATTATTAGACATAGTTTTTAAAGTGTTTATATTATCACAGTTTTTTAAGAGAATTAAAGTATAGCCTATGTAAAGATATGACAAGCCACTTAATTAGGATTCTGCTTAGAAGGAAATCGATGTCATTTGTTATTTTTTAAAATTTTATTTATGAGTCAACTCGTAAGTAAGCCTAGCTTCCCTATAGCTTATTTTTTAAAGACTTCATTAAATATTTTACATAAGGATATGGATGACATATTTTTATGTGATGCTCTTTTCCTTTATTTCATTATGTGTATCTTTTATGGCATAACGCTTATAACTTATGTCATATGTAAAATATTTGATGAAAGTAAGAGTTAAAGGAAAGCATAGATCTTCGTTATCCCGATAAGGAAAAGCAAATGGGAGCAAACAACTCCGGTCGATGCAAACCACGTTCATGCAAATCAAATTTAGCACGACGAATTTGGATCGATGGTGCAAAAGGCCAATAGATCAGAATTTCTCAAGAATATTTTATTTTGGTGAAGAGAATATCCGAAGAAGGATGATCTCCAGCGTCAGTTTTGTCTCCAGTTTTGCGTTTGTTGTACGATCAATGAAAACAGATAGGAAGAGGATTGTAAAGTGGTCCACTTGCCCACGAGTGCAGAACCCAATATCGATCCACTTCTCAATTGATTGATCTGACTGGCAAGAATATTTTAAATTCCCAATCTCTTATCTTCATCTTGGCCACATTTACGATTTATCTGTTTAGTATTGCTCACTCTCTCTCATAAAATATCTAAGGAGTTCTTATAAAATTAAAAATAAAATAAAAAAAAAGTAACTTGTTAAAGTAATATACGAAACTTTAATAACAATTTTATATAAACATTACTGAAAATATTTTTATTGTAGTCATCATAAATTATGTAATTTTAACAAACTCTATAAGTATAAAATTCTATAGTTTAAATAATTTAATATAATTAAAACGTTTTAAAATATTCTCAATAATAAACATCAGCTTATGTAATATATTTAAATTGAATTACATGCAATCAATTTTACTTCGGTTTTTCGATTTTTTAAATTTCCTATAAGGAAAATATGTTGATTTAAAGATAAATCCAGTACTTCCATATCTAACTTCTAGTCTTTTTAATTTTCAATAAATCCTTTAAACATGCATCAGGAAAACAGATAAACTAAGTAAGAAAAAACAAAATTCCTGAGTAAGCAGAGTTATTTTTAAAAATGCTGGGATAACATATTAGCTATACAATTTTCTGCAAAAACAAAGCAAACTGGTATAATCATAACTAAAAATCTTTTCTTTTACTTATTTTTTATTTTTTATTTTCGAGAAGAGCTTCAAACGAACGATTGGACACACTTACAGACAGACAAATTGGATATAAAATATATTTTTTTTTTAGTTATTAAAAAGCTACCAATAAACTGCAAATAAATTTATTACTTTAATCTGCTTGGCTGCTAGAGTTTAATAGTAAAAAAATGCGACCAATCAGCGTAAAGAATGATATAAAGATCTTCAACCTCAATATGTTCTAGCGTTGATTGGTCTTTCGATATTTGAACAGTAATTAAACAATATCCTAATTGGTTAAAGAACCGTTACGCCCTTTTTTTCATCAAAAGGCGAATGTTTCTAGGAAAAATTACTTATTACGTTGATTAATTTCAAGAAAATATTGATTATTCACATAATTGTAACTTTAGAAAATGCATTAATATTTTAATACCTTTCTTTAATATACATATATATTAATCGAACTTCGCAAATAAATTCTATAAATTACTTAAACGGATTATTAAATTTTGTACTACTAATCTGCAATTTAAAGTTCATTGCCCCTGCTTCTAGGAAATATTTTATATAGTTTTTTTTAATCAAATATGTTATTTATTTAATAACTATCATTAAACATTTATACATTTTTAGACTCCTAATTATCTTAAATATTAGAAAAAATAAATTTATTTTAATAATATAATTAAAAAATAAGTAGTTTTGCTCTTTAGAATAAAAAAAAGAAATGATTATTTTACTGATAAAATAAAGGAAAAAATGGCGAATTTGATTACTTTTTTTTTCATTTAGTTTATGCACGATTTTCAATTTTACAAATAACTGAAATATTTACTTTTGTATTATTCAGGTTCAGAGTTTCTGTAATGAAGATTTAATAATATTTAAGATATATATGTAGTATTTCTATTATAAATATAAGATTTAATCTTGTAATTTTTTAGTAGTTAGGCAGTGAGTAATTTTAAAGATAAGTATATCTAAAACTATTTGTATATAAACAATTTAATCAAAATTAACAAAATATGTTTTGTTTTAAGCTTTAAATATCTTTTAAAGCTGATTTTCTCGCTTTAAAAGTCATATATATTTATCTAAAAA